TGTGTGCCAGGTCGGCCAGACGGAACATGCTGGGCGATCCGCCCCCAAGCCCCTGAAGAGTGGAGAAGGGACGGTGGCAAGGCCACCTCCCCTTAGGGTCCTTGCTCCCGCGAGCCATATGCCCTACAGCAAATCAAAAAGAAAAGCTAACTATGCAGAGATGGGATTTCGGGGATACGGAAGCTATTATAAAGGGAACTTCAAAAAGTTCAAAAAAACGAAATTAAGAGTTTTAGTACAAAAAATTTTGAAATCCATGTATCATTTTCCTTTTTTTTTTTTGAAAAATTATTTAATTATTTCATTCAGATTTATTTATTCATTTACTTATTTTAATTTGACCAGACAGGGACAGAGCAAGAATGAGAGCAAGAGAGAGAAAGTGAGAAAGCCAGCTGCCAGGTCCAGGACTCAAACCACAGTCGGCCATGTGCGAGTCCAGCGCCTTAGTCACCATGCCACCTGCCGGCCCCCATGTATCATTTTCTCATAACAAATACTGTCCATGAACTCTTTGAAGTCTTTCATTTTTGTTACTTTTCTGTTCATCTAAAACTATTCTAAAATTAAAAAACAATTGGGATCAGCCCTGTGGCCTAGTGGTTAGGGAGCAAGACCCCCCACAAGGCCGGCTGTATGAGAGTCCTGGACCTGTGGGCCTGATACACAGGTGTCTGCCCACGCCTACACGGGCGGAGAGCAGGGAGGGCTGGCAGGCTGCTGATGCCACGTGGCAGGTGCTTTCTCCCTCCCTCTCCGGCTTCTGCCTCTCTCTCTGGGAGCATACAACGCCTTTGGCAACATTTAAAAAGAAAGCTTAAGTGGCAGCAAAAGCCTAAACAAAGGGCCAGCAGGTGGCATGGTGATTAAGGCACTGGACTCCCACTAGGCTGACTCTGGTTTGAGTCCTGGACCTGGTGGCTTGCTTTCTCACTCTATCTCTCTCTGCTGAAATGCTAAAATAATAACAAATGGGGGACCAGCAGATGGCATAATGGTTATGTTACTGGACTCCAACATGGTTGACCATGGTTTGAGTCCTGGACCCAGTGACTTAAACTAACGCTGGGTGCATGTGTGTGCATGCCCAAGACCTCAAGGGGAGAACAGGGGAGGAGACTGAAACATGGCCATCTCCCCAGGTGGGGGTGACTTCTCACTTTCTGTCTGTCTCTCTCTCTCTTTCCAGTAAGCACACATGCCCTACAGCAAAAATCTCTCTTAAAAAAAAATAATAATGATTGGGACTAGCACTGGCGTGGTGGTTAAAGCACTGGACACTCCCACGTGGCTGACCACAGTTCGAGTCCTGGACCCGGTGGCTCACTTTCCCACTTTTCCTCTCTCTCTCTCTCTCTCTGTCTCTCTCTGGTCAAATTAAAATAAACGAATACAAAAAATTAAGTAAAAATAATTCTTTAAAAAAATTATAACAAATGGATTAAATAAATAAATAATTCCAAAGGGGAGACGAGGCGTAAATGAAGTTGAGCAAACGCTGCTGCCTGCTGAGGCTGGGACTGGGTCAGCGTGTACACAATGGCTGGGTGGGTGAGTGGGGGCTCCCGCGGCTGGGTCGTCTGCACACCCGCGTGCACCGGGCGGAGAGCGTGTCAGTGCAGCGTCATGGGCGGCCCCACCCCAGGCCCTGGGGGAGGTCTCACCGCCTGCAGCTTCTCCAGGTTGTCCTGAAGCACCTGCTCAGTGTGTCTGTAGGCCTTGGCCACCAGCATCTTTGCTTCCTGCAAATAAAGGGGAATGGACGTGCCCTGAGTGAGCACAGAGGCACTGCACATGCGGCACCTGCAGCCCGTTCCCAACACCGTGAACCAACACAGGGATGCGGTGACAGGCAGACCGCCTGCCCCTGCGCGTTCTGGGAGGGCCCTGGTTCAGGGCACCCACCACCCACTCTGGGTCTGCAGCGGCT